AATTTGCCCAGCCTATTGAACACGCAATTTAATTTTTCAAAGTGACATGAACTATGCAAAATTAAGCTTGAAAAATTGAGTTGTCCATACCTCCACGAATTAATTTGCCAATTTTAAAATTGGGGAATTAATTTGCGAAATTGTAAAAAAGGGAGAATCAAAATGATGAAATAAACGACCATTTCACAATCATCATAGTTATAAATTTGACATTTTTAAGGCATTTTTGTGATTTTATGGCGTCGTTTTCTCGTGCTTTCTTGGCATTTTCCCAGTGGTCAAAGTCTTCGACTTTAGCTAAAACCGTTGATGCCCATAAATTCCCTCGGTGGTCGGCAAATTTCCATATCGTTTGGATTAAGTTTTCAAATTTTGGCTTGTAGCACTTATGCTTTTAGATGGTTAGATGATCATTTGGATTATGCACTGCAAGTGTTCAGCTGTATTAGCGACGGATGCAGTGGTTGTACATTCGAACGTTGGATTATGCACTGGAAATGTTCGATGAAATGCCTGAACGAGAGATACAGTTTCGTAGAGTGTTTTTAAGTGAGCTTCTTCTAGGTTTTTGGATCTTCACCTTGCAGTTTGCTCGTTGTCTATCAAAATGGAGCAGCAAGCAAAACGTTTGATGGCAATTTCCAGCTCTGTATTGGCTTTCTTGGAGAATGCAAAAGCTGGAAACTTTCTTTGCATTATTAGAAGGTTGAGTGTAATATGAGTAGACAGACCCAATACAGTTCAAGTGCTGTCTATGATTACTCCAACAACAGATCTTCCAACACCGAAGAAGCCGATATTTGCAGTGCAAACTCTAAACGATGTGTCAGTGTCACAGTCTAAGTCTAAAGATCTTATCTTTGTCAACGAGGTAACACAATCTTTGATCCAAGGAGGATAAGCTCTAATGTGTACTTCAGTGACTGTAAGAATTTGAGATCTCACTCTTTATTGTTGTTAAATACTACAAGTTTTCTTTGACTTGGTCAAAATATTCAAAACTTATTAAGAGTGTCTCATATTGGAATTTGGAAGTAGATATATTTCTAGAGTAATATATAAGTTATATGAGCATTTTCGCAATTGGTTTCGAGGTGGAAGCCCGATTTAAAAAAATGGCATTAGGACTAGATTGACCCGAAGGACGATTTCCCACGTTATATGTGGCTAGTCTTGTAGTGGGTGGAACAAATGATACGTTGTTTCCGACTTCATCTCGAGTGGATTATTAGAATGTTTTGTATTGGAAGTAAAGATATTTCTAGACTAATTTTGTTATTAACCGGGAAAATTAGAGTCATAATGATAACGAAAGTAAGTATTTTGACTTGATGATGCCAATATCGTCTTCTCTTGCGTTATATGCTCCAAATTCCTTTGCTTTGTGGAAAATTGACATTTGAGTAAACCAAAAATGAAAGAGGGAAAAAATAACACGCTATTTTTGTGTGGACAGTTTCTTGTCAAGTTGGTCTATTCTTTCTTTTTTGGTCAATATGCTTTGTTTTAGACTTGTAATATTCAAAGAAGCAAGTCTGAAACCAAGAGTTGTATACTTATTCTTTACTCTTGATCACAATGCTCAGTACTCCATCCACATGAAGTTCTTGTTCATACTCAAGATCTTGTAGAGAAAAATGGGTATGGATTTTTTTACTTGCTTCCTCTTCTTACTAATCATATTCCCAACTTGTGGCTATGCAGCTATAAACACATCAAGTCCTTTGTCAATAGGACAAACTCTGAGTTCCCCTGCTGGATTGTATGAGTTAGGCTTCTTCACTCCTAATAATACTCGGAATCAATATATTGGGATCTGGTTCAAGAAAGTTGTTCCTCGGGTATATGTTTGGGTAGCTAACAGAGATACTCCAGTTACGAGCTCTGCAGCAAATCTAACTATCAGCAGCAACGGGAGCTTGATCTTGCTTGATGGAAAACAAGATGTTATTTGGACAACGGGAGAGACTTCCACATCCAACGAATGTCATGCGGAGCTCTTAGACACTGGAAATTTTGTTGTGATTGATGATGTCTCAAGAAGAACTTTATGGGAAAGTTTTGAGAATCTTGCTAATACTTTGCTGCCTCAGTCATCGTTGACGTACGATGTTCCTAGTGGCAAGAAGAATGTATTGACTTCATGGAAAAGTAACAGTGATCCATCGCCTGGAGAGTTCTCGCTGGAGATTACACCACAAGTCCCTTTACAAGGCCTTATAAGAAATGGCTCAGTGCCTTACTGGAGAACTGGTCCATGGGCAACAACAAGATTCTCTGGGTTAGTACAATTTGATGAATCATATGTAAGTCCATTCAGTGTTATCCAAGATGTAGCAACCGGAAAAGGATCTCTCACTTTTTCCCTTGTAAGAAACTATAATCTATCGTATGTTACGGTAACACCAGAGGGGCAAATCAAGATTTACTGGCAGGAAGGCACCAGATGGATGCATCACTTCACGGCACCAGCAAACTTATGTGATCTATATGGTTCATGTGGGCCTTTTGGTTTGTGTGTGAGATCCAGTACCCCGGGATGCATATGTTTGAGAGGGTTCGTACCAAAGTCCGATGAGGAGTGGAGAAAAGGAAATTGGACAAGTGGGTGTGTGAGACGTACACGATTATCTTGTCAGGCGAATTCTTCGATGAAAACACAAGGAAGAAATAAAGACGTCTTCTATCGTATGACCAATGTAAAGACTCCGGATGGGTACCAATCTGCAAGCTTTCTCGATGCAGAAGAGTGCTACCAAGATTGTCTAGGTAACTGTTCTTGCACAGCCTTTGCCNATATTGGTGGAATTGGATGCTTAGCTTGGAATGGGGAGCTTTTAGACACAGTTCAATTTCCGCGTAATGGAGAGATTCTCTCCATCCGTCTTGCAAGTTCGGAATTGGGTAAGGATGATGACGTTTGAAGTTTCAACTTTCTTTATGACGTTTTGTTTAGAGTTTTGTTTTCTTGTGAATATCTCAGCTGGAAGCAATCGAACCAAGATTATTTTAGGTACTAGTGTCAGCCTTTCCGTTTTTGTGATCTTGGCCATTGTCGCATTTATGTGCTGGAGACGCAGAGCGAAACAAAATGGTGAGACACTGACAAAGATAAAAGCTTTATCACTCTCTTTCCTTTTCCCCTTAATCAAATTTTACACTAATTAAGCCTTTGCATGCTAAACTGCTACAAATCTAGCACTAATACATGCACATTTGTTACTTGTAGGACCAACTCCTGTTGTCTTTGATACTTTACAAGATGCATGGGCGAATGATTTTGCACAACAAGATATCTCAGGCGTAAATTTCTTTGAGATGCATACCATACGGACTGCCACCAATGACTTCAGTTCCTCAAATAAACTTGGTCAAGGTGGATTTGGTCCTGTTTATAAGGTATGGGAC